GACCTTAGTGATTAATGTCTTAGACCATGTTAACGATAACGATAATTTTGTAAAATTGAAGTGCTTGAGGAAATATTCGAAGCAAGCTGTTTCGAATCTTGTTGAGAGAAGCCTGGATTTTCCATTCGCGGCCGGTAACTTAGATGAATCTACAGCTGTTCTTAATAACGCTTTGAAAACGTGTACCAATTAACTAGTTGAGCAAAAGTTTGTTTCTTTGAAAAACTCAAACAGCCGGTACAATTTGGATCTTTTGCGTCTTAAACGGAAAAGGGACAAATGGTACAAAAAGTTTTGTAGATCAAATAATGACACTCATTGGAATAGGTACACAATCGCGCGTAATAAGTATTCACAATCGATAAAGAAAACTCGTTGTGAATATGTTCAAAGGAAGATTGATCAGCATCAAAACAACAGCAAAGAGTTATGGAAAATTTTGAAATCTTTATTAAACCCTAGTAATTGCAAACCGCGGTCCATAACTTTTAATGGCACATTAGAACAGTCAGAACAAGTAATTGCAGCTAAGTTTAATGATTATTTCGTAGACAGTGTTTCATTGATTAATCAATCTATTGAATTGGTCGATGAACCTGACGAAATAAAACAGCCAGTTAATAGTAGTTGTAGATTTGAAGTTTTTCACCCAATTACATTAGATGAACTTAGAGTTATTTGTTTTTCATTAGGAAAATCGGCTGGAGTAGATAATGTTAATGCTAGAGTTATTCAAGATTGCTTTCATGTCATTGGCCACATCTTGCTGGACCTTATTAATGAATCATTACAAACTGGACATGGACTATTCAAAAAGTTGCTAGAACGATTAAAGCCGAAGAGTTTCGTCCCATCAACATGTTGCACACATTAGAGAAAATTTTAGAACTTGTTGTTAAAGGCCAGCTGTTGGAGTATTTAAATAGTAATAGTTTGTTGATACCAGAACAATCGGGATATCGGGAAGGTCATTCTTGTGAAACCGCGTTGAATTTGGTTTTAGCGAAGTAGAAACATAGCTTGGAGTGTAAAGATACGATTGTTGCTGTTTTTTTTTATCTTAAACGCGCTTTTGAAACAATTTCTAGGCCCTTATTATTAAGATCAATCAAGCGCTTTGGAATAACGAGTACTGCATATAAATGGTTTGAAAGCTATTTGTCTGACAGAACTCAACGGACTGTTTTTAATGATTCTGTTTCCAGTCCCGTGGGGAATAACCTTGGAGTGCCCCAGGGAAGTGTATTAGGGCCTCTGTTATTTATTATGTATATTAATGACTTGCGACGTGTTTTACGATTTTGCGACATTAATCTTTTTACAGATGATACTGTGTTATTCATTGCAACTAAGGATATAGATGATGCCGTTTTACACTTGAATGAAGATTTGCGTTCTCTAAGTAGATAGTTGAAATATAAGCAGTTAAAATTGAATACAAGTAAAACTAAATTTATGGTAGTTTCGCAGAATCGAGTAAATGAGAACGTCTCTGTTGTAATTGATGATGAGACTATTGATCGCGTTCGGGAGATTAAATATCTTGGCGTGATTATTGATGACACACTTAAGTTCAACTCTCACATTGACAATGTCATCAAGAAAATTGCCAAGAAGTATGGAATTTTATGTCGACTGAAAAACGATTTAACTATTGCCAGTAAAATACAGCTATACAAATCAATCATCTCTCCTCATCTTGACTTTAGTCCTTCCATTTTATTTCTGGCCAATGCACAGTGGTCCAGAATGCAGATGTAGGTGGAATGATATGTTTTGAGCCTGAAATTGAAACTTTAGACTAAAAGTCTCTTCTACAAAGTTGTTCCTTATAGTTAGGCCCTCATTTTTATGACAATGAATTCTAGGGTGGCTCACAGAATTTAAAAGACACTGCATTTCACACGTTAAAACTGTCTTTTGAACAGTTATTCAATGATTTTTTTTTATGAATTGACAAATTATGTATCTTGACGAAGTTATGTCTAACGGATTATTTTATATGGGTAGCTGTCATAACGACTTTTTAATAATTATTGTAGCACTGCAAAAACTATTTCTGTTCGCCACGAGGGTGATGATGGATTTTTAATATTTGATTTAATAGTAGATTAATTAAAAAAAATGTAGTCTACAAAGGTTTGAGCCTCATTGATAATAGGGGAAATGTAGGTAATGTCGGCCTAAGTGTCCCTAATTTTTGCCCATACATAAATTCAGCAATCGGCTAAATTTTCAATAGCAACCAAAAATATCTATTAGTACCATCCCAATGACGCGTTCATCTAGATACAATTGATAAATAGCAGATTTTTAGCGATGAGCCCAATCTTAGGTCCATAGGCCAACATTAGAAACATTTCCCCTACATTGATACTTCCTTGAAACTTTCCTCTACTACTTGAAATTTGTGATTAATTATCGAGTCATTTGATAATATTATTTTAGTTATTGTTGATCCAAGCGTTTGGGTCGGATGATTATTGTTTATTCCAGTTAATAAACATTTTTCGTTAAGTGGGACTATTTCATTTGGATTGAGATTTGATAATTTTATAACTGAAAGTTCCTCACCTATGTCGATTACCCAAGAGCGTAAAGTGACTATAATTATAGTCACTTTACGCTCTTGGGTTATTTGTGACTTGTCCGGGGTGAGATTTGAACTCGTGACTTTGGCGTGTGAGGTATAACCATAGAGGTAACTCTAAGACCAGAAGGTCCCGAAGAAATGTGCTCAACTTTTTGGCTCAGCTCTGGTACTCTCTTCGGTCCTAAGCTAATCGATTCACCCCTCGAAACATAGGAAAAACCAATAACCCCTCATTTTACCTGTCAAACTTTCATAGCGAATCCAAACAAACATTGCGTAGAACTAGAATTTCGACTAGAATGGGATACGTTAATCGTTTGCTTGGGACCAATAGGCTAGTCAAGTAGTGAGCCAATTTAAAATCGTTAGTTTCGTATTGATTGTTGGTATAACTGGGTTAGCGCAATGTGGAAATAGGATACTTTTTGCATGTTCTACAGTTCTGGCTCCAAGCGGTGTTTTTTTTTCGCCAGGAAGGCAGCTCCCACACCTGGATCGACCCATCAACTCATGAACCGGGGACCAAAGGCTTTACTTCCCTTACTTATGCCTCAGAACATCCCGGCGGCGCCGACTGGGATTCAACCCAGGCCTGCTGAGGTGAGAGGTAATCACGCTTACCACTACACCTCAAGCGCTGTTGTACCACTAAGTGTTGAAGTTTATCACTAAGTCTTGAAGTTTATTGCTTTGTATGGATAATTGGAACTGTCCGTAGATACGGGCTAATATGTTGTAACGATTTCAAGTGTTGCTGTGATTTCTCAGTTCACACTGGATGACAAATCTAGGATGGATCCATGGAGTTGATGTTCTGATGGGAAGTTGGATTTAACGAATGTGTTAAAAAATGTACGATGCGTGGGAAAATTTGCTTACAGTCCTAAGTAACATTGATTGATTCTCTTCGTCGACGGTCGACGGCACATAACGGTTTATTGTTGTGTTTGTCGTATTAGATTCTAGATAAAAGCTTCTTTTATCGATCTGCTTACTGAAAATGCCTGAGAATGTCTTAACATGGCCGTGAGGATACAAAAAGAAAGTCGATGAAGAGAATCTGTCAATGTTACTTAGGACCAAGTGCAATGTTCAGCTTGATTTGTTGAAAGACTATTGATAAATGACAGTGAGTAGACGGCACCACCCACCGCGCAAATCGGGGATTCCTGTATTGTTGTCTTACAACAAGTTTCAACAAAAACAAAAAAGCAGGTACGGGGACAACTCTATTATTTACGTACATTCACAACCAATACCAATAGCATCATTTATCATCATTTTCAACGGCGCCGGTGGTGTAGTGGTAAGCGTGATTACCTCTCAACCCAGCAGGCCTGGGTTCAATCCCAGTCGGCGCCGCCGGGATGTTCTGAGGCATAACATCTCTGATCACGCCTTCCTTCGGATGGGAAGTAAAGCCGTTGGTCCCCGGTTCATGAGTTGATGGGTCGATAGGTAGGGTCCAGGTGTGGGAGCGACGGAAAAAACAAACCAAAGGAAAAAAAATTATCATTTACTATAATGTGCAAGTTAAGGGAAATTTTTTAAAATATATTATACAGTGAGGTAGATGTAGTTTAGAATTTGTTCGGTAAAATAGCTAAATTGAAACAAAGCTCAATAGTAAAATAATTAGAATATCTAGGGAGGTAACCAAAATTAATCAACTTGCCAACATAGGCTATCACATTTATTTTTGTGGCACTCTTTAAATGATATTAAGCATTTTTTCTCGGTTCGGTTGTCTCGCACGGCTCTCGGAATTCGCGCGGTTTTCGTAGCTTACATAATTTAGATATTTCGTTCGAAACGGATTTGCTTATTCAATCGGTTTACTACGCGGATGTATCTACGTCACAGCATTTTTTCCATAACTATCTTGAAACAATACATACGGAATCCAGTGTTCTGATTCAAAGCAGACCAGAACTCTCAGTAACGAATTCTAAATAAATCATTCAAATTTTAAACTATTTCCAGCTTACACATTCCATATAATTTTGTAGCATCGTGGCCATCTCAATCCAAAAAAACATCCAACCACCTACCTCAATCTAATCATTATCCCTTCCCATGGCGATCATGTAGCCTGCATGTGGCGAGTCAGCCATTACCCCTCCTTTACTATCGGCCTTGGATTGACTTGCGCCCCACCCTGCGCTGCATAATGAAAAAATGAAATGAAGTTAAGAGAAAAACTATAAAATATATTATACAGTGAGCGGTAGATGGCAACCTATTCTGAACCAAAGGGAAAGTTAGCAGGTTGTTTAGATATCCAATTATTTTGTTGGTTTCAAACCGCGTGTATCTCCCTGGTTCCATAATTGTGGGGTGATTGCATACCAAACCTGGACATTGTACAGAATTTTCGAGAACAAGAAAGTAACACAACAGCTTATTTTTTTTTTAAATAGGCTTTATTTTCTCTCAAAAATATACACTAAATTGTCTAGTTTTAAATATAATATTAAATTATCTGCACGTTTTCAACTTTTGTTTTCGAAAGTTTCACAATCTACGCAAATCTATTTCTTTTTCTGCGGTCAAAGCTAAATTATAAAGCGCACCTAAAAAACACACTTCCTAATCTATCCATAAACTCATAACAGTCCCATTTGAATAGGAAATCAAGTAAAGATATGACTGTTATGCTTTTATGGACAATAATGCCCTACCTACTAACTCTTTCACACTGTTGTAAAATGTAAATTAAATTATGTAAGATTACACAGATCTACATTTATGCTACTTACGCCACATACTATAAACTCGATTTTTACGACATATATATATTCTCAACAAGATAGTGCAGTTTGATATTGTAATGTAGTAATATAAACATCAATGACGCGAAATAGTCATTACAATCGTTTTCCTTCAGGCACTTTTCAATGTTCACTTATGTACAAGGTTGCAAATACTCATTTCAGCTAAAATAATGTTTTTCGGTATAATAAAACCAAAAGATGGTATGATGGCATGTTTAACTTGTAACTTACAAGAAGAGGTTACAAAGTATGCGTTTGAAACATAAAACCTGTAAATTTTGCTTTCTATGAGTCACAATCAGCGATTTTCTTATCGCTGAGTGAGTGAGTGAGTGAGTGAGTGAGTTTGTGAAAAATCGCTGATTGTGACTCTCATGAAGTGAAATAAACAGGTTTAATATGTCAAACACATTCTTTGCAACCTCTTCTTGTATCCTACCAATTCAAAATTTGATCATGGCATCTAATTATTTCATAATTTAGAAGAACATTGTTTAAGCTGAAATGAGTATTTGCAACCTTGCTTATGTACACTTTGATCGAAAATGTTTTCTATGCATACTTATATACATAACCTGTAACCTATTTTTTTTTTTTATCCTGGAATATACCAATAATAGTCCTGATTGCAGCAAATAGTAATTTTCAAACACGATCAAACAATAATAGTACCTATTATCGGGATTGAGTAGTGAACCCAGGACAGACGATAAATTTCGGTCGCGGTTCACTAAAATTAATATATTATTCATGAATCCAATGTGTATTCAACTAACAAAAGTTCAACAACTAACTTGACAAAGAAATTATAACTGCGGTTTTTCAAAACACGGTTTAGGTTAAATGTTCTAATTTCTTCGTCACGCTGGTTCTTGAACATTTATCAGTAAATGATGAAAAAATCTCACATTTAACTGAACCGCGATAAAAACTGTCCGGTGCAGCCTCGGTTCCCTACCCAAGTCTGCCTATTATTAGGGTACGAATTATTTACAACACTTCAAACTAATCCTGCACTGCTAGGTAGTTTTCTGTACAAAAACACGTTGTCACAAACTTCCACCAATAAATATAAACTGTGGGTGCAATTTGGGTAACAATTAAAATTAGGCGAGCATATGCGATCAACCAGAAGTTCCCTGCCATTAAGTCGTTATTTTCAATGGTTGCTTTAAATAGTTGGGTTGTTAACCAGAGGTTATGAGGTTAGAATGGAACCTTTGCTAAATGTAGAGAACTGAGAGTACTGGATGTATTGATAACAATTCTATGTGATTAAAACCCACACATGTTTGGGTTGGACATTTTTCGACTTCCCTGGGCATATAGTACCTATAACTGTGCTTACCAAACAAGGCTCCTTTCTTCATTAAATATTCGAAGAAGGAAATATTTTCACAAATAGTGCCTTACAATAAATTCTATGCGAAAGAACGAGCAGCAATTTCTCAAAAGAAGAAATTCCACGGATTCTAAAAATGTTGGGACTTATTTTTTTTTTATCTTTTTTAATGACTGTTTTTGGAAAATGGTCATTAAATTTAGCAATAATTAATGCAGTGGAAATAAATTTACCAATCTAAGGATCGTACTCCATGAAAAGTTAACAACACTGGCAATAGCAACAACAACAACAACAATGTTAGTCATGGGTTTCGTAAAAATCGGAAATCATCCAAACTTTTATGTAAGTTGTCAGAAGATGTATCCAAGAATGGTGGCTTTGAAGCTTTCGAACCAAAACATTTTAAACCTGAGGCACTATCCTGTTAAACATTTCGTGGATAGAGGACGGTCTTCCTTATTTCCCCTAACTAAAAGTCAATTTTACAGTTCCCTGTCAGTATCAGGGGAAGGAATCACGACGAGCTCAAGGTTAGGAACTTCTGGTACACCCACACAGAGATGCCGGGTGAAAAATATTACATGATAGTTACACTTCACAGCCTCTACGTCTCGGCTTCATCGTCGGCGTTCTTTGGGTCAATGCTGTGTCTGAATCTACTAGTGACGCTTTACCCGTTTTGCATCCAGAGCTACCTTTCGCAGTAGCATCTTACGTTTCGGTAGTTTTCGTTCCGTGACCAGTGTAACGGATCGCTTCGGAACGCTCGGTTGGCTAGTGGAACTTATCAAAGTAATAGATTCCACTGCTCGCCGAGAGAACCTTTGGGAAGGTTTGCCAGCTTTCATTTGATCTGCCGACCGCAAAACTCGCCTTTCTTCGGGTTTTCCTACATCACTTTCTGCTTTACTCTTCACATCGATGTTTTTATTGTTGATATTGTTATTATTGTTGCTAACTGTTCCGCTGTTGGCATCAGCTAAACTACACCGGATCGATTTCTTCACCTTTTTGAAACTAAGGAATTTTTTCACCTTTGATTGTTTTGGCAAAAAATTGCCAAATTTGCTACGCATGTTTCTGCTTGCTGCTGCGGTAGAAAGGTTTTCCTGTTGAGCTCTCGTTCGATGCGGTCTTTGGCTGCTTCGTGTCTCGTAAACAATCTTTACAATATTCTTGATGGTTTTCCGTACCTTCTTTGCTTTTCCAACACGAGCAGAACTTCTTTTGTCCATCGTGTTCGATGGCGATCTTGAGGTAGACGAAGATGCTTTTGCTTCGTCACCACTTAAACAGCTATCACTATCCGACTGAAGGGAAGTATCCTGCGCTGGGGAGAGCGCGCTCAAGTTAGATGACGATATTTCGTTGATTTGAATGTCCTCAACATCGGATTTACTGTCCCCCTTTGATGCGTTTATCACAGACGGCCGTTCATCAATCGATTCGGGTACGGTCTCTTCGGTATCGTTTTCATTATTATTAATTGTTAACTCTACTACCCCAAGAGTTTCCTGTATGGTATCTGAATCTTGACGATTGCTGTCCAGTTCCTCTTCAGGATACAAATATTCCTCAGAGTCTTTGGGATAGTTATTTTCCGACAGATCATGTGCCGTATATTGCTGGCTACCGTAACTACAACCTGCTGGTTCGTGGGGATGTGAGTGATGGTAATCATACCGTTCCATTTGATAAGTCGCATGTTCGTGGTGGTGGTGGTGCTGATGTTGCTGGAAAGAATGGTGAGGATATTGGGAGCTAAACGGTGTTTGATGACCGGCGGTGTGAGAAGGCAGGTGCGGTGATTGATAATCGTGAAAGTTCTCGATTATTGCCACATTTCCTGTACACTCCATGTGCAAGTATCCAACCGCTGAGGTGGACGCCGTTGAGGTAGATGCTTCCATCATTTCCGATTGCAGCCGTTCTGATTTGGTTTGCAGATTCGTTAGCAAGTACGTTTCTTCGGCTGAATCTTGTTGATTACGTTCTTGTCCTTCAGCCGGGTACTGTAGGTTTTCTTCGTGTAGAACGTTATGCTGTTGTGACTGGTGCTGCAGGTGATGGTGTTGATGGTGATGCTGATGATGAACACTATAATGTTGTGCGCTAGGCGTATAGTTCGTATACGAATGATCATTACTGAGACTGCTGTTCAGAAAGGTATTGTAAGATTCAGCGAAGCTGTCAGTATAAGCCATGTCTTGATAGGACGCAGACGGCGTTGAATCCAGATAATGCTGCTGATGTTGTACATTGGCTTGCACGACTTGAGACGCATCCTGACAGGTAACTTGAGAAAGATCAACCAACTCTCTCGTTGTATGATCATACAATGTGACGTTCAATTTATCCAACGTTTGGGTGTTCGTTATCTTATGATCAATGGGCTGTATCGATGTTCTCATAGATCGCAGTACGTCTCGTTTAGGAGGACCTGGTGGATCTAACATTATAATGACCACCGATGTATTGTCTGCTTTCATATTGCTTTTGCTCCACCGTTCTAGTGCTTCGTTCACCAGTAATTTGCTGGGATTTTTCCAATCACATCCACCTTCCAGTGCTATGCGGATGTTTTCCATTTCTGCGGCATGTACAATTTCTACAGCGTGCTTAGGTGATAGGACATTCCACAGACCATCCGTTCCGAAGATCAAACATCTGCAAAGAGCAAAAAATATGAATTAGGCACATAAGTTTTATCAAGAAAACAAACAAACAATTGATTTGTTTAAACTTTATTAAGGAGATTTTTAGGCAACCGGCTTTCATCTTCAGAAATTTTTGTGTGAATTATTAGTTAGGTGGGCATAATTCTGTAATTTATAGAAGGGGTAAGAGGGGCATAGTGAGCATCCCGTGCACCAGCTTATACTTTCGGTTGGTGGTAAGATCAATATCATAATGATATTGAACCTACTACCAGTTGATTTGTTTCATGCAGCTGGAGATCCAGAGCCAAACTGCGGGATGCTCACTCTGCCCCTCCTCCTCCTACTACCTGATAAAATCAATACAGAGATACAGGAACCTGATTAACAATTGCTGTGGGACAAAATGCGCATACTGAATCGTTGTATAAATAAAGGGAAAGTGGGGCAGTTACGTCATAGAGAAAATATGGCCACCCTAGTCAAATTCAGCTTATTGTTTATATTTTACAATAATATTTTGTAGGGGTAAGTCTCTGCTGAAACTATTGATTGATTTAATTTTAGTCTGAAATTTTACTATTATCTAGCGCGAATATTTTAAAAAGTGATACGCACTAGCTGAAAATGTCAAAAATCTTGTATGATTTCTGCATCAGAAAATAAGATTTATAGATATTTCATAATAAATAACAGGAAATCGTCTTTCAACAAGTACATACAAATGGACATTGGATTCTAGATTAATAAGATGTTTTCTAGTTTTCCATAAAAAAAACTACACTTGATACTACCCTTACATTACCGAAGCGATAATGTGATAAAGATGGTCCGATCCAATAGTACGCGAGATTGTGTCATAGTGTGTTTGTTTTACGACGATGATTCTATTAGCGATTTTTTAATATTCAGTTCCAACCTGGATCGGATATCAAGATCGACTCTGCTTGTTTTATGACAAACGTCAGTTTGATCGTTTGTTTTTAAAACCTACCTCAGGTGGAGGTTTGCACTGACAAAAAGTTCGGTTTCACACTGGGTTGGAACTGGTTTCAACCCCGATAATAAACAAATTCGCTATATGACTCAAATTCGGTATGTGTGTTATTAGCGCTCAGTCTTGTCTCACACACTCAAAGGGCAATGTTTTCACCAAACTTTATGTGTCGTACAATGGATTTTGTCAGTATTTGAAAATGGCCACTTCCTCGAGGTTGGATCCGAATGTGACCAATGTAGTCTGGGACACTCGATATGTCTCATTTCGATTTGGAAAGGATCTTGTTTTCTAATTCGAGTTTGTTTTTTAAATTCTGATGTAGTTTGGTGTGAGTTTTGGTGCTTTTCAGAAACTGGCCGCTTTCCAGGAGGTTGCCGGATCATGTTCAGATGTGACCAATAGTGTCTTGGGAACTCGATTTGGCTGTCATTCATTTTATTTTTGACTCCGCATATGATATGAGGTGTCGCATGATGGGGTTTGTTCATGTCAGAAACTAACCACTTCCCTGGGTGTACCCGCAACATGTCCGGATATGATCAATGCACTTATTGTTAACTGCTCGTGTGATTTGAGAAGTAGCATGATGGGTTTCACGTTTTAAGTAACCTCCATTCTCGTAACCCATACTCACCGGTCATGTTCCAGCCATACCTCCGGAGCCAATTGACCGATTCCAAAAATATTGGAAGTTATATGGGACCATGATACCTTTTATTTTTATACCTTTATCAGCAATGGCAAATCATTTACATTCATTTCGTGCATTCATTTACATTCATTTTCCCATCAACAGAACTAGTTGCCGAGAAACATGACTTAGTTCCCAAAATCCGTGTTTATCGGATCTTGTTCCGGCCATATCTCCAGAACCAGTAAACCGATTCCAAAAATAGATGTTACATAAGTGATTGCCGAGAAACACGAATCACAAAACAGACACACACATACATTTTCCGATCTTGTCGCGCTGAGTCGATTGGTATATAACACTCGGCCCTCCAAGTCTCGGATCGAAAGGTATGTGTATCCTTCTTTATAGTGATAAAAATACAGGAACATGGGCTATGGACGACTGCAGACTGCGTTGGATCCGGTGACGAAAGGTTTCGTACCGACTTCAATCGTATTGGATCATGTAACCCGTAGTTTGTAGCACGGGGTCCGAGCCGAGATGAAAAAAATCCTTGATCGAAGAACTCGTTCAAATTCACCCAAAATTCAGGAAGAATCGGTTTCACTTATTAGTACTTTTGCTGCAAACACTGTCAGGATATTGTCCGCCTGCATACAAGAATGTGAAGACCCAGGATTTGACAATGATTCTCATAGGGTCGAAGATTCACTGGATCATTCCAAGGAATATAACCAAGAGCATTACGAACGAATTTCCTTTGAACAGATTCAATCCTCGCTATTTGTACTTATTGATACGGACAGCATACTACTACACCGAATTCTAAAAGCGAATTTGTTTATTATCCAGGTTGCAAACCAGTTCCAACCCGTGCGAACACGAGCTTATTGTCAGTGCGAACCTCAACACGAGCCAAGTTAACACTGACGTTTGAAAGGCAACAAGCAGACCCAATCTTGATACCCGATCCAGGTTGGAACTGAATAAAAAAAAATCACTATAAGATTGCTCGCACTTGAGAGTAGTATAGAGCTTTTAGGAGGGTAGGATCCCAAAACTCGTTAGAGATCTTGAAGATGAATCCGAGCTGCCTGTTAGCTTTGGCATGATGTCCGAGTGACGTAGCTTAAATGCCAAAGCAGAGTTTTTTTTTTTCATTATTTGCATTATTTGCTTCGAAACTGTTGATCAGGTGCTGCAACCGCAAACAGTGAAGACCGCACAACCGTCGGACGATCAACAATCAATTGGAAGTATCAGACCAATTTCGTTAATAAAAATCGTAAACAGCAACGGTCCCAAGTTGCTGCATTGAGGAACGCCTGACTTGTTTGAAGAAATAGTGCGTTTGATCTAAGCCAATTTTCTCATAAAGCTCTCGATTGGTTAAAAACAAATTAAACCAACGAATGAAACCTTGAGAATCGCCGAGCTTTTCGAGTTGTTCAAGCAGGGGGCATGATTAATCCAGCCGAAAGCAGCCTCAAGACGTCCATATTCCGTAGGCATAGGAAGATGAAAGAAGCGAGGTTTGTTGAGACCAGGCCAGTGACAAGGCCTATACCATCAGCAGCGTTTGACAGTAGGTAGCATGTCCCGGGCTCAAATCGTTTATTTTGCTGTTCTGGGCCCGCTGTCACGAAACATGTTGCCTACGCGCCTGCCACTGGGCTGGTTGAGACAGAAGGCTTGAGGTGGAAACCATGTAGGACAGGAGAAATGTTGTAAAAATTGTTTTTGCTGTGTAGCAGCCGAAATATAAGAGGGTGTTTTTTGGTCGCCATGGACATTTTACCCCATTTCGTATCATATATGATAGTTTTCATGCCATTCTCCAGCTCCACTATATGAACAAGTATTTGACATTTTTTTGTATTAGCTGTGGCGTCTTACCCTATTGTCATGTATATTGGGTTACCATTGTTCTTACCTGTATCTCTTAGGATCTATCTCAACGACGGATACATCCGGATTCGGACTGACAATAAACTCATCTACGGCCGAATTGTAGCTCCACAAATCCCCCAAACTCCGTGCCACTGCGAGGAACGGAATTTCGTCAATAGGAGTGCTTCTACGCACTGGGCCCTTGTGTCCGATTCGCGGTCGATTCCAAACAACGCGCGGAACCCCAGACTTGGTGACTACTTTTCCACCGCAGCTCATGATACGCATCTTTTCTGCGTACGCTTCCGGTTTGTGATCTTCCGTCAAGGGCATCGCATTCCACGTACAAGACTCTCCTGTATGAGCTTCCTTGTCTTTCTGGTAGCCAAGAACGATTCCGGAGTCCCCGACATGTCCTATGTATATTTTACCTCTCCGGATGAACGCGATACTTGCCGTAGTACCAGCTGTACTAGGTAAACCGGATGAGGTTTTCGGCCATTTGTCTGAAATGTTGAAAAGAATTTTAAGATTACCTTCAATAAATACGTAATATAGGTACGTGCATATACAAGCAGCAGCAAAATAAACACTTTAAACGTCAATAAACGAGGTGCGTGTGTAGTAGTGGCATCGTACAAAAAGTAGAAAGTTTCCACTGAAGCTTTAGCAGAAGCAGGAAGCCTTTCGAAGTATCGTTCCAAAACATGAAAAATCATGTTGGATCAAAATATTTAGTAACTTTTATGAATTTCAACACCGTTTTGACCATCTACCCCCGTTGAGTGCTTGCATGTGACACATTTTCCCACGATAACCCGCAGCATCATGCTATTGATAGTGTTTGTAAACGCTGCCCTCAATAAGTACAGGGCAGCGAGCAAAAGAAAATGTCGAACTGAACTGTCGTTCCCCTTTCCTCCCGCGCGCACTATGATTCGCTCATCTAATTGACCGATTACACTGGTTCTGGTTTACCTTGCTCGCGCCACATAGAATAGTGGGTCTGAATGTACCCATCCCGGATCGCTTTTAGCACATCTTCGTCGTTTTCGGACCAGAACAGCTTTTGGCTCACGATGGTTTTCATCAGATGCTCCCTTGCGTAGAGTGACGCTTCTGCACCGCCATGGCCATCATAGATCCCGAAAAAGGCGTACTCCAAACTTTGATCATTCTCCGTCTGTTGGTAGGCGACGGAGAAGAAATCCTCTTGATATTTTCGACCACCGATAGAGGTGTGCCCCGTTACACGTAAATTTATCCCGATAGACATGGGAAATAGACTATTTTGCTCACAGTAACATTAAACACAGAAAACACTCCTGACAGACAATCGAATTTTGATAGACACGAAAAAGCTTACGAAACGAATGACACGAAAAATGAATGGTGCCCTCATACAGCGACAAGGTATTTATATGTAGGTGATCACACACACAGTGATAAGTTGTGCTCATGAACGGGATCCAGTCGATTTTTATCGGCACTTCTCTTTAATAAGCGCCAATGCTTCATACTCTTAGCTACGATTACCTAAACTTATCGGTAAATAGTTATCGGTATTTTTACCGATAAAAATGAGTGTATCCCATTAGGCATAAATACGTTAGGCATACGGACGTTAGGCATACGGACGTTAGGCATAATGGACGTTAGGCATAAAGTCATTAGGCATAATGGACGTTAGGCATAATATACGTTAGGCATTAAATACCTTGCTGCTGTGCAACTCTAGAAACCTGCTTAACCTGTAAACCTGTAAACAATGCTCAAATTAGGCTTAGCGTTGAATAAAAAATGATACAAGTTAAACAAACATAGTTTATTTAATAGGCACAGTTTGGAATCCATTATTTATCATATCATAAGTGACGTAGCTACATATTTACTTAGATCCAAGATTAGTAGCGATAGTGGTTGAGTAATCTGACAATGAAAACTCAGCATAGTTTTGAACTATCAATGTTCGTGAAATCAATCGCATCTAGAAATAAAAAAAATCACACATTTGTTGTAATATATTCTTACACACATATTACAAAAGTCAAAGAAGAAAAGGTTTTCCTCAAAGAACAGCTCATGAAATAAAGAATGGTGAATTCTGTGATATTTCATTCAATAACAAAAAAAACAGCCAAGGTTGAATAAAATATGATGCCAAAGAACAGCTCATGAAATGAAGAATGGTTAATTCTGTGGTTTTTCATTCAATAACAAAAAAACATACCTACTGCTTCCAGGATTTCCTGCCATACTTTTCGATACAACGATTCTGTTTTTGTTGTCATCAGAATGAAAACTAGCGGAACCGTCTACTGATGTGAGGGAGCGATACTTCCATGAACAGTGACGAGTTGCCGAAACAAACAAGGAACTGTGGCAAACGTACCATCTGTAACCCAATACTTTGCCTGTCCAAGACGTCGTTCATGAGTTCCAAAAATTAAGGCTCTTTCATTATTGTCACCGAAGTCAGCAATCAATAGACGGTCTCCATTATCATCCTTCTGGAATTCATCCGGTAGATTATGCCTAACGTCCATTATGCCTAACGTCCTTTATGCCCAACGTCCATTATGCCTATCGTACATTATGCCTAACGTCCGTATGCCTAACGTCCGTATGCCTAACGTACGTATGCCTAACGTCCGTATGCCTAACGACTGTATGCCTAACGTCGTGCACCCGATAAAAATCGTTACTTTTTACTTTAAATTGGCTATTTTTTACTATAAATTAGGTAATATTTAACGTTAATTGAACGGCGCCGGTGGTGTAGTGGTAGGCGTGATTACCTCTCATCCCAGCAGGCCTGGGTTCAATCCCAGTCGGCGCCGCCGGGATGTTCTGAGGCATAACATCTCTGATCACGCCTTCCTTCGGATGGGAAGTAAAGCCGTTGGTCCCCGGTTCATGAGTTGATGGGTCGATAGGTAGGGTCCAGGTGTGGGAGCTGCCTTCCTGGCACGTCGGTAGCCTCAGTTATGCCTCAGAACATCCCGGCAGCGTCGACTGGGATTGAACCCAGGCCTGCTGGGGTGAGAGGTAATCACGCTTACCACTACACCTCCGGTGCCGCTACTTCTTTTTGTTGATGGCATTTCTTTTTTTCAATAAAATAATATTGTATTCGAGCAATCTTTATTTTACCATTGACACAAATAAGAAAATTCCGAAGTTAATAAAAAACCATGCGCACTAGACTGATGCAAAATTTGACTTTTTCGCTCCACAGTGCTTAAATGGTTTCAAATCGGGTCCTGATTAGCCTCCCAAAGTTACAACTCATTTGGTTAGAAACAGACTTCGCACAAGCCATTTGAAGTTTACTTGTAAATTACTATGGGAAATCTCAACTTTTTGTTCATTGTCTTCTAGTCTTTTTTCATATTGAGCTGCGAAACAGTTCGATAACAAATTTTATAGAAAATTTTCTCAGCTACAACTTTGCTGAAGATCGTTTCTATGTAAAACGAGACAGGAAAAAGTTATTAATTATTTAAAAGATTGGTAAACTTATGACATGATCAAGCAGCTGCTCTGTAGGCAACACTGTATTTTGCAGTGTGACATAGTAGCCATGAGTTTTGTGTCCTATTCAACGCCCCAGAAACACCAATGTTGCCTGCTGAGCAGTTGATTGAGCATGATCATAAGACATCAGCGCATTGAACCATTGATAACTTTCGATCCTTGCATTTAATCAAAATGTGGTCTTCAGCAAAGTTGTAGCTGGGAAAATTTCCTACAAGAACAGTTGAAATTTTTTGAAGCAGACCGATATGGTGAATTATTAGATAGACATGAACAAAAATCTTGGTTTTACCATAGTAATTCCCATACAAACTTCAAATGGTTTGTGCGATCTCAGTTTCTCACACAAATGGGTTCAAATTTTGAGAGGCTAGTCAGGATCCGATTTGGAATCGTTTAAGTAATGTGGAGCGAAAATTTCAAAATTTGCATCACTCTAATGCGCACCCATTATATTCAAGAAATTATTACTTTTTACACATTTTGCTGTACAAACCGTTCCTGAAAAATGTGTAAAAATACACTTCTTTTGACGTTTGCTGGGATTACACATAAATGTGAGAGGTAACTCTAAGACTAGTAGGTCCCGAAGAAACGTGCTCAACTTTTTGGCTCAGCTCTGGTACCATAGAGGTAACTCTAAGACCACTGGGTCCCGAAGAAAATCATTATTATTTTTGGCTCACTCAGTACCAGAACAACGGTCCCAAGCAGTCCCAAGCTATTTCACTCACCCCTGCATGTTCTGCATGAATCCACACCCCTGATGTTATCTGTCAAACTTTCATAGCGAATCAAAATAAACATAGTGTAGTAATAGAATTTCAACTAGAATAGGGTACGTTAATCGTTTGCTTGGGACCAATAGGCTACTAAAGTGGTGAGCCAATTTAAAATCGTTAGTTTCGTATTGATTGTTGCTGGTACTATCTTCGGTCCCAAGCTAATCGATTCACTCCTCGAAACATAGGAAAATCCCCTGGAAAATCCACTAACCCCTCATTTTATCTGTCAAACTTTTATAGCGAATCAAAAAAAAATGTTGTGTAGTGCTAGAATGTTTCCTAGAATAGGGTACGTTAATCGATTTGCTTGGGACCAAGAGGCTAGTCAAGTAGTGAGCCAATTTAAAATCGCTCCGCTCCGTCTTCTCCGTCTCCGAGCGGCTCAAAAATTTTGGTGACGCACCTGCTAATGCAATTTTTCAGTGTACCACATGGCAACACCACTACTACCAACAATCAATACGAAACTAACGATTTTAAATTGGCTCACTGCTTGACTACCCTAATAAAAATTGTATGGTTAATTTGCTTAACGACGTGTTCTGGGTATCATCCAAACCATTTGTGGAATAGTTCAATGATTTGGGTTGTCGTTCGTTTATGGTTATTTTTTATTAGGGTAGCCTATTGGTCCCAAGCAAACGGTTAACGTATCCCATTCTAGTCGAAATTCTAGTACTACGCAATGTTTGTTTTGATTCGCTATGAAAGTTTGACAGATAAAATGAGGGGTTATTGGTTTTTCCTATGTTTCGAGGGGTGAATCGATTAGCTTGGGATCGAAGAGAGTACCAGAGCTGAGCCAAAAAGTTGAGCACGTTATTACGGGACCTTCTAGTCTTAGAGTTACCTCTATGCTACTATCAACAATCAATACGAAACTAACGATTTGAAATTGGCACACTACTTGACTAGCCTATTGGTCCCAAGTAAACGATTAACGTACCCAATTCTATTCGAAATTCTACTACTACACAATGTTTGTTTTGATTCACTATGAAAGTTCTTTGACATAAAAGATGAGACGTAAACAAACATGTAATGTAAAATTAAATGCTCCGAGACAGAAAAGTTCGTTACTCGACGAAAAATACGTTTTATTGAGTTGAATTTCACGTCTATTATGACACAATTTTATGTCAAAATTGACGCTCGTATACACTGTAACATGCAAGTACCCATTAATGGGTATAAAAGTACCCATTATAAGTAAGTATATGAAGCTGTCAAATAATGGGTAATTGAATATTTTTGAAAATGGGTTCTTTTGTACCCATCTTTTTGACCTCTTCGGGGAAGAAAAATGAGTATTATTTTACCCATTATTGGGTGAAAATTATCTTAATCAATAGTGAATATTGTCTAACACAAAGCATATTACGAGGGCTTAAAAATTGATTTTCTATGCCATCTATGCCTAGTAAAATGAGTATTGAAATGTAAGTATTTATTTGAAATATATCTAGGTGGTGTACATTATGAAATTCAGATAAAATTTAATGATTTTTATTGTTAATTTCAGATCCACAAGGAAGTGGCCGTGAACAAAGTGTTCCAGGAAGGGATGACATGAAGAAACGTCCGACAAAAGCAACACATTGCACAGCAGGGACAGTGGATGCCAAGTTATTATTATCAAAATAAATAAATAAAAAACAAGTTATTAATGCTAATGTTTCCGCCATTTCAATGAAATATGCGAAAAATCAAATTAAAATTAATTTCTAAATAGCTCAATTATCGAAAATGTATACTTTTTACCCATTTTCTAAATCTTTTCATTTCTAAAAAATGGGTAAAAAGTACCCGATGAATTGACGTACAAGCTCTTTACCCATTATTGGGTAAAGACGTTTTACCCATTTTATGAGTTTACCTAGTTTACTTCGAAATAGGTACTTTTTCACCCATTAATGGGTACTTGCCAGTCACAGTGTATGTCAGGCTCAGAGCACCTAAATTTACATGATTTTTTCTAAGTGTGTTATTCAACTTCAACTCTATATCTGAGCTTTCAAAATCTTCTGTACACACTTAGAAATT